GGGAAAGAGAGATAGAAACATCCATAAGAAAGAAACATCATGGGCTTTGCAGCAGCCGCCGCCCCGGAGCCGCCTGTGACCAGCCACGGTGAACCCCACCGTGTTCTTCGACATCCCGTTGACGGCCAGCCCTCGGGCCGTGTCTCCTCCGAGCTGTTTGCAGACAAAGTTCCAAAGACAGCAGAAAACTTCCCTGCTCTGAGCACCGGGGAGAAAGGCTTTGGTTACGAAGGTTCCTGCTTTCACAGAATTATTCCGGGATTTATGTGCCAGGGTGGTCGCTTCACACGTCACAATGGCACAGGCAGCAAGTCCATCTATGGGAGGAATTTGAGGACGAGAACTTCATCCTGAAACGTACAGGTCCTGGCGCCTGTCCACGGCCAATGCTGGATCGAACACAAACGGTGCCCAGTTTCTCATCGGCGCTGCCAAGCCCGAGTGGGTGGGTGGCAAGCATGTGGTCTTCGCCAGGTGACCGAAGGATGGATATTGTGGCAGCCATGGAGCGCTCTGGGTCCAGGAATGGCAAGACCAGCAAGAAGATCACCATTGCTGACTGTGGGCAACTCTAATAAATTTGACTTGTGTTTTATCTTTACCACCAGGCCATTCCTTTGGTAGCTCAGGAGAGCACCCCTTCACCCCGATTTGCTGGGAATGTTCTATAATCTCTGTGCTCTTGCCACAGTTCACTGGGTTCCATAATTTCCTTACCCCCTTCCCAGTCTAGCTGGATTGCAGAGTTAAGTTTATGATTATGAAATAAAAACTAAACAGTTGTCTGCCAAAAAAAAAAAAAGAAAGAAAAAGAAAGGAAGGAAGGAAGGAAGGAAGGAAGGAAGGAAGGAAGGAAGGAAGGAAGGGAGGAAGGAAGGAAGGAAGGAAGGGAGAAACATCATTGACTGACTGCCTCCTGTACGCCCCCTACTGGGGATCACAACTGGAGCATGTGCCCTGACCAGGAATCTAACCGGTGACCTCTTGGTTCATGGGTCGACGCTCAACCACTGAGCCACAGAGGCCGGACAGATGTTGCATTTTTAAAAAATTAAAGGCAAGACCCTGTACCAGCAAAAGATTATGACTCACTTCATTGCAATACTCGTTTAATTGGGGTGGTCTGGATCGAACCTGCAATATGTCCGAGGCCTGCCTGTCGATCTCACAGTCCTGCTTCTCACACACCTGTGCCTGTCTCACGTCCTGCCTTTAGACATGTGGAAGTCCAGCACGTTCTCAGCTGCTGTCTACTTTTCAGCCAGGAAAGGGCTGACGGTTAAGGTGACTGACAGGTGCAGAGGACACCTGGGTTATAAATGCAGCGAGAGGACCGGTGAGGTGTGAGGTGCCTCATCAGAGCTGCCCAAGTCCATTAGAATATTCCTGGTGTCGAATCAGTTGTACGGGCAGGAGCAGTAAGTGGTGCCTCAGCAGAAATACCTGCGTTTCTTATTTATGAGGCTGTCGGAGGGGAGAGATTCTAATAAAAGGCTTCCCCGGTGATTCAAGGTCTCCTGCAGCCCAGATGGCGTGCAGTCTCCCCGGGCCTTTCTCCCCAGGGCCACCTGGACGCCTTCTATTTGCTTTGATTCAGCTCCTATTGCGCTTTTTCCTCTGATGCTGGCCCGTTCCCACCCAGCTGAGAGCCTCTATTTCTGGGACTTTTTGTGGATAATGGAGTGGGCAGAAGCTCCCCACCCACCCCCCTCGGAGCATCCCTTCAGAAAAGGGAGAGTGCTCTGGCGAAGTGAAAAACAGTGGGTGGTTCAGTTCAAAAGGACACAATATTTCTTGCCCTGGCGCTGGGAGAGGAAAGAAATTGTCTGAGGCACCGAAGAACAGCTAAACTAAGAAGCCGAAAGCTGCAGTCCATAAGGGCAAATTAGGTGACTCAGCTGCGACTCCCCTGGATCCAGGCCTTGTAGCATGAATGCGCTTTAAAAGGGAAAAATGCTTAACCGTGACAAAGAGTGGGCTCCATAAAAATGTGGCTCAATGCTGATCCTACCGACTTCCAAAGGGCAGCCCCTCCAGGCCGCCGGCACCTGCGGAGATCGCGACGGGCCTCCTCGGCCTGAGCCTGGGTGGGACCGAGTCTAAAATTATCCCTGAGAATGAGTCTGGCAGAGGAGGGCCCAGCATGCTCATTTCCTGCCTCCATTCTGGCCTCCAAGACCTCGGCTCCCAGGGAGGCCTCTGGGAGGCAGGGGCCGCAGTGCCCAGGACATGGGCCTTGTTGCCCATCAAAGTTAGGTTCAAGTTGGGATGGTTGTGTGGACATCCACTCACAGAGCCTCAGTTTGCTCATCTGTAAACAGGGCTCACAGCATGGAACCCGGTCAGCGAGGGGGAGGGGGCAGTGAAATGAGCTGCTTCATGCCCTGGATATAGTGACTGTTAAATAAAAGGAGGCTTGGAGGCGAAGGGCATGGACTGCAGGGCCAAACAGTCTTAATCCTGGTTTAATCACTAGTCACTCCTTGAGCGTGGGTGGAAAGCTTTTTAAATTTTAATGTACATTTTAGCACTTATATGCCTGGCTGTTCCTAGCATCACATCCTTACATCAAACTCTATGGAAGGCATAGACAGTGTACCCATTTTACAGAATGGGTAAATGACTCTGGGGCAGAACCAAGGATCTGGTTTGAGAGCCTGTACTTTTACCCTACCTCTCAGGTGCCCTACCTCAGTGCTGCTGCCAGAACTCTCTACAGTGACGGGAATGTTCTGTTCTGAGCCGTCTAACTCCGTGGCCACTAGCCACATGTGGCTTTTGACCAGGTGAGGGGTGGCTGTGCAACCAAAAAACTGACTTTTATTCAATTGTTAATGACTTTAAATCTTAGTAGCCACATGTGGCTAGTGGCTACCACATCAGGCCGCACAGAGCTACCCCTCTTACTGTTAGTGTATTACTCTTCAGGGTCAACAGCAGGAATTTATCGATGACCCTAGCTCAGAGCCTGGCATATAGTAGCTGCTAAGTTAGGGGCTGCTCTTCATAGCGTTGCTAAGTAGGGAGATTGTCTTCAGAAGACAATGGTCTGCAGGCTTGCAGCAAGAAAAGGAAGCTTCGTTCATGCCTTGGGTGGCCAACGTGTCCCAGCGTGCCCAAGAATTCCCCATTTTAAAACTGGAAGTCCCTCGCCCTAACCGGTTTGGCTCATTGGATAGAGCGTCGGCCTGTGGACTCAAGGGTCCCAGGTTCGATTCCGGTCAAGGGCATGTACCTCGGTTGCGGGCACATCCCCAGGAGGGGGTGTGCAGGAGGCAGCTGATCGATGTTTCTCTCTCATCGATGTTTCTAACTCTCCCTCTCCCTTCCTCTCTGTTAAAAGTCAATAAAATATATAAAAAACCGAAAAAACTGGAAGTCCCGCAGCCTGGGAACCTCCTCGATCCCAGGCGAACCAGACGTGGCCCCCTTGCCTCAGGTGATGTACAGAGTCCACAGGAAATGGGGGTCCCTCCATAGGCTCCCTAAAAGGAAACTCCCACAGCCTCACAGGCTGCAGCCCAATATTTGCCACAAGCAAGCCATCTGCCCTCTATGAGCCTCAGTTTCCCTTTCAGACAGTTAGGGAGAAGGTTTCTCTGGGAGCACAGTAGATGGGCAGATAGGGCTGCTCCTGGGGGGAGGAGTGAAGGTAAGCTGTCCTGTTGGGTGAGACAGGCTTCAAGGCGAAGGTAAACTGTCCTGTTGGGTGAGACAGGCTTCAAGGTGAGGTGGGTGGGGCTTTTCCCTGTAGCTCTTTGTGGGACAGCGTGGGCCGAGGGAGGCCTGGAATACAGGGTGGCCCCGCGGATGGAACCAGCGCCTCTAACGTTCAGGTCTCTCGGTAAGAAAGTGTGTGGGTGCGTGGGGTCCTGATGAGTCACCAGCTGTGGTGCTCCCCGAGTTCTATGAGAGCTCGCAGGAATAGCTGAAATAGCCATCTTCAAAGCTGCCTTATCGCTGGGCCCCGACTTTCCCGCCCCGCCTGCGGACCAAGAGGCAGGTCTAGGCTGAGTTTGGAAAGAGTGTCCGGCCGCCCAGCATCTCGCCCTCTTCCCACCGGCCTTCCTGGCTCCGTGGCCCCCTGATGGGAGCGGCCTGATGGGAGCCCCGCGTGGCATCCCACCCGAATTCTGCAGCCCGCGCAGAGTTCACGACTCCCGTCCCTTTATTTTCCTGTTTATCCAGAGCGTGTGTAAACACATGGGTTGCCTGGTTTCGGCGTCTCTTTGGCCATTTCATTATTGCTGGAGCCTCTGAGCATCACTGGAAACCTTGGGTTTTCTAAATGAATCTAAAAATATACTCTTTGAAAAAAAAAGTCTTGGAGTTGGACAGAGTTGACACAAGGCACGGTTATTTATTTCTTTTCCCTCGTCCCTCCCCCCTTCCCCTCCCCCTCTTCCTCCTCCTCCTCTCACCATCCCCAAATACAAAAAAATATGGGCAGCTGGAGGCCCCGAGGGACAGGGCCCCTGGGTCAGTGTCCAGGGGCTCAGGCCACCTGGGGTGTTGGGGTGAGCCCTAGGCCCCTTTGACTGGGAGGTGCCCGCTTGGAAGCTGGGGGGCTGGGGAGCCCGGGCAGGACTTATTAAAAGTGCAGTGGGCGAGGCGAGGCGGCGGCTGGGGCAATCCTTGCAAACGGCCGCCTGCAGCTCCTGCAGGGCCGGCCTGGACACTCGCGCGCCCCCACCCCCTCTGCTCTGGCGGCCGCATCACTCCCTCTCCCTGACTTTTCTCGCGAACAATCAGGGACTTGTGCTGGCGGCCGAGGGAGCCACGGCGCTGGCTGGCCGCGGAGGAGGCGACGTCATGGATTCCTGAGTGTGAAGTTTGCAGGAAAGCCCTTAGTTTTGGAGATGGACGGGATCCAGCGGTTTCCATGGTGCTGGGTAAACAGGAGGAAACAGTGAGGGAATCCCGTTATTTTACTGCATTGAAAGCCTATAAACACGGAGCGCCGGGAAGGAAGTCGCGTTCCCTCTCGAGTAAGCCGAGCGCCGAGCCGCGCCGACTCCAACGCGCCGGGAGCCGGAGCCGGGAGCCGGGAGCCGGGAGCGGGAGCGGAGGCGCGCAGCTCCCGGGCCGCTCACAGGCTCCTCGGCCAGGGCACCCCGCGAGCATGCTTTAGAGGACGGCGCCCCCTTGGCTCCTGGTCTCGAAAAACAGAGCCCCTCTCACACCGCGCGCCAAGCCCCCATCCCTTCCAGATGCAGAGAGAGGCTGCGTTCAAGCCGGGGCACTGCCATCCCCTCCGCATCATGGGGTCTGTGGACCAAGGTAACTGACTCGCCCTCCACCGCGGCCGGTCCTCCTCCCGCCTCCCAGCCCTTCCCTTCTGCTCCTTTCTCGGGCAGCGCTTCGGGCTCCTGGCTGGGCGCAGGGGGCCGGGACGCCGGTGGCCCAGGGCGCACAGGTAGAGTGGCCCGGAACAGAGGCGCCCTCGCCCCGGCCGAGGAGGGAGGGGAGGGGGCGACGTTAGCCCGCTGAGCAGCGGGCAGTGCCGCGTCCCACGCGGGATTCCCTGGCGAGGTGTCACGGGAGTTTCCCTTCCGTGGGACACCGGGCGTCCCTGGCTACTAACCGCTCGCTGCTTAACCGTTTCAGCACTCGGCTTTTGACAGCAGATGCTACGCAGCTGCACTGTTATTATTATTCATCATTATTATATCATTTAGCTTTTTTTCCTTTTAGGAGAACAGGCTTGATCTTTTACTATGTAGCAAAACTAGCCACGAAGACTTCGCTTTTGAAACAGTTACAGCAGCAGATGCGCTGGGACATTTAAACAACCCCCCCCCCCTCTGTTTTTGGATGTGCCTGGTGGATACAGTCCCCGGCTCCCCCTTTAAAGTGCAGTGTACCATCAGTTTGTTTTGCGATCTGATTACACTCTGCTTTCTGTATTTCTGCCTCTTTTCCTTCTCTTGGATTTAGCCCTGGAATCATACTCCTTGGATCTGACGGGAGGGGCTTAACGTATAAGAATATGATATGAAAATCTGCCGTCTGGCCGGGCGGCGAGGCGTGCGGGCTGTCCCCTCGCGCGTGGGGCTTGAGGAGTGGCGACCAGGCAATGCGGGGCGTTGTTCCCAGGCCAGCCCTGCCCGCGGTGGGGGCACTGCCGGGCGGGCAGGGCTGCAAGAGTTAAGTGAAATAAATACGCGTGGGAGGAGTTAGCCTGGTGTCATAAAATCAGAGTTGAATGTGGGTTTTGTGCTCTGCGTGGCTGATTAAAGTTCTGGGGGGGAAGAAATGACAATTTCAGTAAATAAACCTGAGGGTTTTTTTTTTTTTAAACCAGAGTGAGGCCAAGTGCCTTGGGTTGGGTAAATGGTGTGCTTTGCCTCAATGGCACATAGTTTTAGCTGAGTTGCACTTTGGACGTTTTAACTGGTACCAGCTTACCCTGGCCTCTGCTAGTGGTCAGGCATGTGACATAATGGCAAACACATTGTACTAATATTGCATCACCTGTAAAAGCGATGGTCTCAGACAGGTAACTGACGGCTAAGGACATGAACTGGTTTTGACCGTCACACATACCAAGAGAGTGCTTGATGCTGTGATGGTGGGGGTTGGGGGTCGACCAATGCCTAACGGAGCTCTATTTGGAAAGGAAGAGAGCGAGAGGGAGGGAGGGAGAGAGAGAGAGAGAGCGAGTTTGGAAGAGAAGCGGGGCTTCTGATGGACTCTGTGATCTAATAATAGCCTCACATTTTGTGGAGCTGCTCCACCTCTGCTCAAGGTTGATGAACCTGCCCCCCTCTCAGGGTGTTGAGGTCCGTGTATCTTGCGTGTGCGCATTGCCTCCCTCCCAGCCCACGCTCATGTGTGCAGGGATGGTGAGTATGTGCGTGCCAGTGTGTGTGTCCACATGTGGGAGACAGGGCACCACATTGTTCCCAGCGAACCACACTCGGCATTCCGAGGCAGCTGGGCACACAGAATGCAATTCCAGGCATCAAAGAGCTGGCGTGAGAGATGCTTCCACCGTGCCCTGCAGAGGAGAAGCTAATGCCCCTTTAAACTCAAACACCACGTGAGCTTAGGGACAGACCTGAAGTGTGCATGCAGATGGGTGGGGCCATGAATAGCGAATAGAAATATTTGCATGGCAGGAAAATACTGACCTTGCTGTGCAGCTTTGGGTCAAGGCTCTGGGAAAAACGGAAGATCTGAAAGAGGTGTGTTCAGTTCTATCTGAAGTGGGATGATGGAAAGTATTTCAGGAATAAACACATCCAGCATGAGCTCTGTTCACTCCCAGACTGGGACTCCCTGCCTTCTGCTTGGATTAGAATTTCTGTTTGGCCACATCACACTGTGTGATCTTGGATAAGTGCCTTAACCTCTCTGTGCCTCAGTTTTCACATCTGTAAAATGGGCCCAATAATATGGATGCCGTGCACATAGTCAGTCTCGATAAATGTTAGCTGCAATTCCCATTGAAGTTGCAAAACAGTAACTTACATTGATACAGAAACTGGATTTTGCAACACAAAGTTGCTGAAGAGATGTGGCACTTCAAACCTCTCCAGGTACTTTTTAACTTACGGGGGCTAAGATGATGGCTGGTTGGGCTAAGATGATGGCTGCAAAGCCTCAGTTTCCTCATCAGCAAAAGGGAAAGAGGATCATGTGGACCTCACAGGGTTGTTATAAACATCCTGTGAAATCATGCACGGAAAATGCTAACGTCGATGCTTCACATGCGGTTAACACACATGCGATGTTACTGTTATCTGACGATTGGGGACAGTGAGAGCCAGCCGTGCCCAGGGTCACACACAGTGGGAACTCTCGTGCTGTCTACGGGGGTGAGAGCAAGCGCGTATTGAGCACCGCCTGGGAGCGGCACACCCACCTGTTTGCAAGTACTTGGAGTGCGGGTGAATTTCCCGCCAAAATATAAGATGGCTCTGTCTTTTGGTTTTGTTCCATCCACCAAAAGGGTGGATTACAAACAAATATTTGGTAATACGCAGTTACAATCGGCCCGAGTTTACACGTTTCCCGCACTCCACCGCAAATCTATATGAACCGAGTTTTAAGACGGCTCCCGCGGAGTACGCGCAATTCACGCGAGCCGACTTAACTCGTTTCCCGCACTCCAAGTGTTAAGTCTGTAATTGTCTGGGCAAGTATGCTGCTAAGTGCGCAGTCATCTCCTGCACAGAGGAGGGCAGTGAGGCACAGAGAGGGGCAGTAACTGGCCAAGGGCTACCCAGCGGAGAAGTGGTGGAGCCATCATTTGTTTTTATTTATTTTAAAAAATACGTTTTTATTGATTTCAGAGAGAGGAGGAGAGAGATAGAAACATCAATGATGAGAGAGAATCATTGATGGGCTGCCTCCTGCATGCCCCTTACTAGGGATGGAGCCTGCAACCTGGGCATGTGCCCTGACTGGGAATTGAGGAATGGAACTGTGACCTCCTGCTTCATAGGTTGATGCTCAACCACTGAGCCACACTGCCCGGCCAGAGCCATCATTCGAACACAGGCCCTTGACCATATGCTCTGGAACTCAGTAATGTTACCATAGTTTTTATAATGCCTTTCGATAGAAGAGCAAACTGAGGGTCACACCTTGATCCTTGGTTCTTTCCCCATCACCACGTTACTTCTTGGCATATTTGCAAGGGTAGCAGGGGAGTGTGGGAGGATGTGGAGGGAACCAGCATCATCGTTAAAGATGGGGAAACTGAGGCAGCCACTGATCTGCCCGAGCATAGAATGATTCAGGAGGGCTCCTTGCCTCGCCCCGCCTCAGGGAAAGGGAAGGACAGTGTTTCCACTCCCCCCAGAAGGAAACAGTGAGGCCAGCGCTGCTTTCTGTTTCTGCCCAGAACACAGGCCCCTCCCAGGGCCCTTCCAGTCCCCCCTCTCCTCAGGACTCCAGAGCGAAGCTCCTCCGGCCCCTTCATTAGAGACTTTCCCCTGAGGACAGGGGCCGGGTTCCTATTTCTGTGAGTGTCCAATGGGTTCCAGGTAATATTCTAACCCAGGACATCAGCAGCTTGAGATCTGGTGAGAGGTTCAGATCTTGGCTCTGCCACTCACTCACTAGTACCTCCACTTCCTGTGCCCCGGTTTCCCCACATGCAAAAGAGCGATAGTAATATTATCTGGAATAATCATTAATATGTTTGACAGTGAGTATCAGACCACCCAGAACAGCAGGGGCAGGGTCCAAGGAGACTCCCCTACCGCGCCAGGTTTTAACCCTTCATCTGCTGAATTACAGGGAAGGTCCCAAGACAGCAAAGGCCCTTGGGGGGGGGGGGGCGGGGGGATGACAGCAATCATTTACCAATCTATGGAGAGTTTCAATCTTTTAATAAACAATATGACTCTCTAATCGCTCACTTAATAAACAATTGCTGCCATTATTTCTGTACAATTCATTCATTCACTATTTACCACCCCCCCCAATAAGATCCCACCTAAAAAAAACCCACAATTAGTGCCCTAGCCAGTTTGGCTCAGTGGATAGAGCATCGGCCCATGGACTGAAGGATCCCAGTTCAATTCTGGTCAAGGGCACATACCTGGGTTGCAAGCTCGATCCCTGTCCTTGTTTAGGGTGCTTACAGGAGGCAACCAATTGATGTGTCTCTCCCACATCGATGTTTCTCTCTCTCTCTCTCTCTCTCTCTCTCCACCCCTCCCTTCCACTCTCTCTAAAAATCAATGGAAAAATATCCTCGGGTGAGGATGAAAAAACAGCAATAAAGCAATTACCAAGCACTTTCCTGTACATGTTCTCACTACATATGAGTGAGTATCTCATGTCTTACCTAGAAGAAGCCAGGCGGGGTCCTGTTTTTGTTCCTTTGCTAGAAGAGCAATCCGGGCCTCTGATTGCCCAGACTGGAGTGACGGTTCCCTGGGACTCTGCCCTGAGCTGCCCTCCCCTGTACTTATCACACTGGTGCTGACTGTCCGCGCTTTGTTCGTGTTCCCCTGGCGCCCCAGTGCCCGGGACAGTGCCTGGATGTAGTAGGTGCTCTTTTGTTAAATGGTGGATGGACGGGCGGACGGATAAATGATGCACAGGAGGGCGACCCGACTTCTTAAGGCCAATGACTTACACTTGGAAGCACCGGAGCATCTCCTTGGCTCACTCCCCTGCTCTCCGTCAGACCAGGACGAGGGCCTGGACTTCCACGTTCCCCACTCCCCTCACGCGAGTGGCTCCACGGACATTCTCCCTGGGTCACCCACCAGGCACATGCTCTCATGCTGTTGTCTGGGATGAATCAGCCCCCAAAGGCA